AGAAAATCAAAAGGGCCGAACTCGCTCAGTATATCTTAAGCTCAAGGAACTGAAGAACAAATTCAAACCTCGAGTGGCTATAATTAAGGATGCTTTCGGCAGAATGTTAAATGATCCAGGAAGTATTAAAAGAAGATGGAAAGAATATACTGAATCACTGTATCGAAAGGAATTGGCAGACAGAAGAATTTCATGAAACAACATATGAGCAAGAACCTATGGTGATGAAAGAAGTTCAGGCTGCTTTGAAGGAAATGGCAAAAAAGAAGGCTCCTGGAACAGATGGTATACCAATTGACATATTTCAGCTAACAGATGCTGCCCTGGATGTGCTCACCAAGTTGTGCCAAGAAGTCTGGAAAACAACCACTTGGCCAACTGACTGGAAGAGATTGATATTTGTTCCTATCCCAAAGAAAGGTGACACAACAGAATGTGGCAAAGGTAGAGGGCCAGTGAAAGTGGGGAAGACCTTCGATGCGATGGATTAACACAGTGACTAACAATTGGCTGGACTGTGGAGGAGATCATGAGATGGCCCAGGATAGGACAGGGTTCAGTCTGTTCTTCATAGGGTTGTTATAAGTCACAGTTGACTCAACTGCACCTCACAACAAAGTAGACAAGAAACTAATCTGTCTTGGAAGAATTACAGCCAGGTTATACTTTAGAAGTGAGGATAGTGAGACTTTCCCCACAGACACTTTAGGCATATTTTCATGAGGGGCCATTTGCTGGAGAATGACATGTTTAATAAACACAAAGATGGTCAAATTAAAAAGACAACCTTTGCCCTTTCTATGAAGATGGCGCCGAAAACGAAGAAGGAAGCCCCTGCCCCTCCCAAAACTAAAGCCAAAGCAAAGGCAGTCCTGAAGGGCATCCACAGCCATAAAAAAAAAAGATGCACACATCACCCATCTTCCGGCAGCCTAAGATGCTGAGACTCTGAAGGCAGCAAATACCCCTGGAAGAGTACCCCCAGGAGAAACAACCTTGACCACTATGCCATCATAAAATTTCCCCTGACCACTGAGTCAGACATGAAGAAGATAGAAGATAACACACTTGTGTTCATTGTGGATGTCAAGGCCAACAAGCACCAAATTAAACAAGCTATAAAGAAACTCTATGACATTGATGTGGCTAAGGTCAACACTTTGATTAGGCCTGATGGAGAGAAGAAGGCCTATATTTGACTTGCTCCTGACTATGATGCTTTGGATGTTGCCAACAAAATTGGGATCATCTAAACCGAGTCCAGCTGGCTAATTCTAAATACAAATTTTTCTCACACACACACACAAAAAAAACCCCAAACAAAAAGACAACCTTTGGCGCTTTCTATAGAATTTAGAAAAATACCATTAAATCCAGCTATCTCGTTACTGGGAATATCCCCCAAAGAAACCAGAGCCATGTCACACCTATGTTTATTTCACGATTATTCACAATAGTAAAAAGACAGAAGTAGCCCAAATGCTTGTTAACAACCAAATGGATAGAAATTTTGTGATGCATGCACACAATGAAATATTATGCAGCACTCAAAAACAATTTGGAAAACACTACATGATATAGATGGGTCTGATAGACATGTGGCTTCAGGTCACCTATGGCTCATAGCAATTCTATGTACAACAGCTCTGAATCCTGCCCTATCCTGAGCCAGTCTCACTGACTCCAACACACCTACCCTCATTACCTCAATTACTGTGTCAATAATCTCATCTGGGATTTTCCTCTCTTACACAGTCCCTTCCCTCTTCCAAGCATGATGACCTTCTCCAAGGACTAGTCCTTCCTGGCCACATGCCCAAAGTATGTGAGACAAAGCTTCACAATTGATGCCTCTAAGGGGAAACTTGGTTTCACCCTCTCTAAGACATACTTGTTTGTTCTCTTAGCTGTCCATAGTATATTCAATACTCTTCAGTACCACAACTCAAAGGCAGAAATTAATCGTCATTCTTAAGTCATTGTTCAGCTCTCCTGGATCAGGCACACCTTAGTCTCTAGACTGACATTGTTACTTCTCAGTACTCTGGAGAGGTTCCTAACTACAGATTTTCCTAGTGTAATCTGTCTTTTGATGTCCTGCATACTTGTTCCAAGAGTGTTGATTTTTACTGAGATATCTCAGTCACAAAAGGACAAATACTGCATAAATTCACTGTTTAAAAAAACAGGATGGGAATGGGAATGGGGGAGGGGAGAGCAGAGAAAGCATGAACACCATACTGGAATAGGAGAAGGAAGGGACTAGCTGAAGGGAATGGATGGTTATACTTGTATGTATAGCAGTTGACAACCGTGTACAAGTCATGCTTTACAAAGGGAAAGAAAAATTGGAAGGGAGGAAAATGTGTATCAATAAATGAATTAATAAAACTCATCCTTTCTGTAAACTCACTAAAATAAATTAAAAAAGACCATTAGCAAGACACATTGACAGAAGCTCAAACACGGACAGCAGGGATTATGTGGATGGTGCAAGATCAGGCAGTATTTCATTATGTTGTACAGAGGTTTGCTAGGAGTCAGAGCCAACTCAGTGGCCCCTCGCAGGAGAAAGGGTACCAGTTAAATTATACTATAAGCTGTGAATCTTGATTATATCATTATTTTAAAATGAGAGAATAGACATTTTTAAACCAATCTGACTTGGGCAAAGATGTGAAATGGGCATTGTGTAGGTTTTTTCGAGCCAAGAGCCCCTCCCAAAAGTGACTAGGCCTTCTCTGCCCATTTAAAACCTGCCCAGGCTTGTATAGTTGCTGTCCAGGGAACTAAGGCTCCTCCCCAAACATAAACTCAAAGATCTTGAAGAATTTCTAGACTTGGCCTCTCCTCCTTGCTTCTGTCTCTCTGATCAAATTCTGCATTTGTCCTATCACAGTTTTTTACTGCTAGCAGGGAAAGAACCCTATCTTATGGCCTCCTCCTCTGGGGAAGCAGGGCTCCTGTCCTGCAGGGCTTGTGACATGGTTTTCAGCTCCTGGGCCCTGCTGACTACCCACACCCAGCGTTTCTGCATTGGCCGCGCCAGCCAGGAGGTGACACTGGGAGCGCAGCTTTCAACAGCCACTGAGCCAGGCTGCCCCGCGGTAAGGGCCTTCTTGCATGGCAGTGAGCAGGTGTTCACCACCCTAACACTCAGGATTTTCATCCTACACCCTGTTCCCAGGTTTTGCCACAGGAAACTCAGGGCACTCCGGATGAGGAGGCCAACAAGTTGGCTCTAAAAAAGTTAACAGAGGAGGTACATCTAGCTTTCCACCGACTTGGAAATCTCAGTGACTTTCCTAAAGCAAAAGATGGGGCAGAGACTACGTTCCTGTTTTCTCCAGGTGCAGCTTCTGCGGCTGTCCCTACGGGCAACGCACCCCCGGGTAACAGAGTTCCCTAGGGAATCAGAGGGTGAGACCCCCGAAGAACGACTGCGGGCACTGAACGGAATTCACGCAAAACGTGTAGCCGAGACCAGCGCCCAGGGCAGGGCTCTGGAGAGACGCGGCGAGGGTGAGGAAGAAGTGGGGGGCCAGGAACCCGACCTGTGTCCTCACCCCATTGACTTAAGGCTGTTCAGCTCTGTCCTTCCTTACTCCTTCAGAACTGACCCGGCGCCTTCAGGGTGTGTCCGGGCCCCGCGGCGGGAAACCCCTCCTACTCGGTGTGGAGAGGGAGCTTCGAGAACTCCGGAGCGAGGCCGGCCACACGCGGGGAGCACTCGAGGCGTTAGAGGGGCGCGTTCAACAGCTACAACATGAGGCCGGGTGAGAGGCGCGCAGCGCAGCAGTGCAGCCCCTGAGGGCGCTGTCCTCGGCGCCAGCGCTACAATGGTTGGGACTCGACTCTGGCGGGAGCGCGGGCAGAGACCCCGGAGAAGCGAGACCCGCGCGGGCAGGCAGACGCGGAGAGCGGGAGCCGGCAGGGGCGGGGCCGCCTCCGTGATGACTTCTTCCCGCCGGTCACTGCGTATCCAGGGCCGGGCTGAAAGCCGCGCGGGAGGCTGAAGTTGGTAACCCGGTGCTACAGGCCAACTTGGGGACTCTGGCTGCCGAAGTAGGGTGAGATCCGGGCCCTGTGGAGGGGTTTGGGGCGAAGCGCTGCTCAGCATGTGAAAGGCTGCCTTCTGTTCCCCTTCCGCAGAGCCCTGCGCGAGGCCTATGTTCGAGGCGGGGGTCGGGACCCCGGCGTTCTGGGCCAGATGTGGCAGCTACAAGTGGAGGCATCAGCACTGCAGTTGTGCCGGCGATCGCGGGCACGTTCCGGTAGACAGTTCAGGCCAATCAGAAGATCTTAAATTTTGGGAAGAGACAAAGGGGGCCGTCTTAGGGAAGGAACCACCCAGGCGAACGTCCTCAGCTAGAAAACCTACGTGGTCTTTGTGTCAGTGGCTAGAATGAGCTAAGTCTATCTTTGTCCAGAGATAGTTAAGAACTGGAGAACTAGTTAGAGACAACATTAAATGTGACAGGTCAAACTTGTTCCTCCTAGGAAAAAAGACAAGAGCTACTTCGGGGGAGCTTCTGATGATTGAGGCAGAAAACCGGCGTCTGGAGGCAGAGATCCTGTCCTTGCAGATGCAGAGGGGCAGAGACCGGACACTTTGGGGTCAGTGCCCTTTGAGCCCTACTCTCATCCCGCCTATCCTTCTCTAGCCGGCTGGACTTAAAGAGCAGAGACCATGTACACGAAGTGAGACCCACGTTTGTGCCCCGTGTCTCCCCGATCATGCCCACTCATTAGACATTGGCCTTTCTATGCTTTTCGTATCCCTAAAATTATGGTGACTTAGTGGTGAGGAGTGTCAGTCCAAGGCCCCACACGAGATGTAACTCCATCAGCTGCCCCGAAGGAGCAAGATGGGCAATCTTCTACCGCGCCAAAAACCCACTGGAGGGTCACCAATCACCCCCAACTATGCAAATACATTTCCAGGCTTGGCTTTCAGGGTAGTGGTATTTCAGTCCAGTATATCCTCAGAAGCACCATTAACTGTTCCTCTGCACCCAGGGCCCGGAGATCTACCACTCCTGGCCAATACCAGACCACGCCTGAGAGGTAAAGGAGATACCCCAATACTGCCGCCGCCGGTGGCTCCCCCACTGCCGCCGCTTCCACCGTTCACAGATGCCACGTTTTGGGGTGGAACCGGAAAGGCTGTGAGGACCCAAGGATTGGAATGGGGGCAGCTCTGGCTTTTCCCCTTTAAGTAACATGGGCAGTTAGGAGGCTTTCCCTTTGTTCTCTGGTGCCAGCTGGCTTCTGGAACCATACTTGGGAACCTGGAGCTGGATCAACACCTCTTACCTCCATCTGATGTGCTGGGCCCTGCACCCTACGACCCTGGGTGAGACCTACCCCTTCCTCTGACAGCCTTTTGTTTTCCTCTGCTGGTTGAGACTAGCTAAACTCAGTTAGCACTGGGGTGGTCAAGGGAGGAGTGCAAGCCTGAGTTCTTAAACCAGCATTCTCCAGAGCTGGGCTGGTCGTCTTCTATGACTTCCTGCGGGGCCTTGAGGCCTCTTGGATTTGGGTACAGCTGAAGACTGGCTTGGCCCGGGATGGACTGGACACAGGCGGAACCACAGCATTGCCCCCAGCCATTTGTTTGCCTCCACCTCCAGCCCCTGGCCCCCTGGGCAACTGTGCCATTCTTGCCAGTCGGCAGTCTGTGCCCAGGTCAGTAGATGTAAATTTGGGGTTACCATAATGGACTATCCATTTTGGTTTTCCTTTTCTCCTCTATATACATGACAGCTCCAAAGATTTAATCCTAGAAAGGGTTATGTAACTGTGCTCGGATCTTTTTGGTTGTTCTGCAGATTGCCTCCCTCACCAGCAGTATCCTTAGTCTGTGAGCTACAGGCATGGCAGAGACAGGGCCTAGCATGGGCTAGGACACCACAGCCAAAGGCCCAGGCCTCACTGCTATTGTTTGACCAAAATCAGCGGGTACTGAGTGGACGCTGGCGCCTCCCACTGAGGCCCTTTGCTTTGGACTCCAGCCCTGGACTGAATGGAGTGACTCAGGTGACTGGGGGTGGGGGGCACCCAAACACCTAGGTTCAATCCTCCAAGGTACTTTCCTGTGTGTGCAGTAAGTACCCCATCACTTTTTCCCAGGCAGGTGAGGCAGAACTCTTCTTGCGGCTGGTAAATGCAAGAGATGCAGGTGCCCAGACACTGGCAGAGGTCAACCCAGCAAGTGCTCATGAGTACCAGCACCCACTTCTGGTGAGTGCAACTGAAGGGGCACCGAAGGGGTAGTTTCTAATAGCTTGTCTGCTTTCATTAACCAAAGTGTGCATGTAATGCTTATTTCAAAACCAATCCCATTTTCATTGATTCGCTGCATAGTGACTCCTATGCAAGGACAAAGACAACTGCTGCCCCATAGTTTCCAAAGTTGTGTATCTTTATAGAAGCAGACTGCAAATACAAACTGCCAACCATTGACAGCAGAGCACCCAAGCACTACACCTCCAGGCTTTTCTCATCCTTATTAACCCACTGCTATCACTTCTGGTTCCTATTTTCCATTGTTCCTGAGAAAGGAGACTGCCTCATTTTACTCCTTCCGTGTGGATGGTAGATTTAGCCTGCCAACTGTTTGCTTAGCACACTGACATGCAAACAGGGTGATAACTGAAGAGGTGCCCACTGCACTACCATGCATTAGAAGGTGCAGCCAAGGAGAGCTCTGGTGGCCTACTGGTAAGGAGGGACAATCTCCTGTACCAGTCAGATCTGATTTGACGGTACACTCACACAAAAATAAAAAAAGGTGCAGCCAGAGTACCCCTTGGAGGCAATGATAAAGCTTCATCTCACATACTTTGGGCATGTTGCAGGGTAGGAGAGGATATTCCTCTGAGGGATATCATCATTGGCAAAGTGGAGGGATGGTTAAAGACCCTCAAGTAGGTGGACACAGTGACTGCTTCAGTGTCAGAAATTATGATGGCACAGGATAGAGGGCTCAGATCTATGGTTCATAGGGTTGTATTTAATGACACTTAAAAAACGCATTACTCAGGAGAAAAAAAATTGGTAATATGCTCCTAGAAAACCCTATGGGACAATTATCTTTTTTTCACGTGGGTTTACCAATAAAAATCAGCTTTGTAATACTCAACATTGCATGACAGGTAAGGAAGTTAAGGTATAAACAGGTTTTAAGGATGCTCACAATAAGGACTGTTCACCTACCCATTCCACAGCTCTCCAACTCAACTTCCCTGGAAGCCAGCAGCGTACCCCTCTCAGCTGGCTTTGCAGATCCTCCACCTCCTGCAGAGGAGCCCCTCAATGGAGTCCAAGATGAGAGTTTGGGCCCCAGATGCTGAGTGTAGTAGGTTATTTTAACATCCACAGGACCTGCTCCCAGACCTTACTACTTACTGACAGGGTCAGGAGGTGAACATTTATGAACACAGAATTTGAGTTGAAATCACTCTACTTTCAAAAAATACTTGACTGCCTCAATATTTACAATATTGTCTAGCACTAAAGGAGTGTTGGTTGCTTAGCTCTAAGAATTACCTTGCCAACTCAAAGGTAGTTTGAATTGACCAGCTGCTCTGAGAAGGGGGGGGGAAGGTATGATTTACAGTATGGAGACTGCAATCAGTGTCATAAACTAAGTGTGAATGGTTTATGGAATACCAATCTATTCAGAAACTTTCACTGGAATCACAATAAAATGTATTTGTTTGGTTTTTTTTTTAAATCTCTTGCTCTAAGGGTGAAAGATGGGCCATTTCCTTGCATGTAATTTCATTTACAGCTTCTGAAAACCCACTGAAGGGATCATGAGTCATTCTGACCTGATGGTGCTTAAGAATGTGCATATAGGGGAGCTCTGGTGGCCTAGTGGCAAGAAGCTGCAACTACAATCTCAGGGGTGCACAGTTCGAATCCACCAGATGCTCTGCCGGGGAAGGAGGGGCAATCTCCTCCTGTACCAGTCAGATCTGATGTGACAGTACACGCACACAAAAATAATAAAAAAGAAAAAAAGAATGTGCATAGAATATTTGAGGAAGGTGTTTTAGTTTTTTATTAATTTTTTGTGTGTACCGTCAAACCAGATCTGACTGGTACAGGAGACTGGCCCTCCTTCTCCAGCAGAGCATCTGGTGGATTCAAACTGTGTACCACTGGCATTGTAGTGCAGCTTCTTTCCATTAGGCCACCAGAGCTTATTATTTTAAAACAAAAACACACATCTTTTTCTCTTAAAAAAATTATTTTATTGTGTGTGTGTGTACCGTCAAATCAGATTTGACTGGTACAGGAGGAGATTGTTCCTCCTTTTCCAGCAAAGCATCTGGTGGATTTGAACCGCTCACCTCTCAGATTGCAGTGTAGCTTCTTTCCACTAGGCCACCAGAGCTCGCTAAAAAAATTTTTTTTAAAATAAAAGTATGTTCACCAAGTCAGATTCTATAGCCAGGAGTTGTTAGCTAGGCTAAAAGAAAATGTGATTAACCCTCCTTTCAATGTAAGATGTTAAAACATATTTTACCCTATTTTGTCTCCAGGGCAGGGAAATAGCTGTGTATGATGTGAGAATTATATTAAAACCTGATATCACAAAGTCAAAATCTTTAACAACATGTTTAGATCAGGAGATTTTTTTAATCATATTTAAGAAGCCAAAATTGTTAAAAGGTAACAATTCATAATGTTGGTATTTTCAGGGTTCCTATACAGAAAATAATAAACCAGCCAGCCTCCCCACAGAGTCTTCCAACTACATTCAAAGTATCCATCACAATCTCTTTCAAAATACTAAGCGGAGTTCTTTAAAAACAGACCAATTTTTTCTCTGGGAGACCATTTTCTTGATATTTTCTTCAATGTTCTTTTTCCAAGGCAGGATTTAAGACCCAATTGAGACTAGGTACAGACGACAGGTACCACCCAAGCCTACAAGGAGTCTGCTGCTAGCCAGTCAAATCTGTCATTCACATTCAGCACCAAAGAGCAAGATTTTCAGGTCTTATCTTCATAGACCCCATCTATGAAAAGCACCAATGCAAACTGACAAGTCAGCTGGGCTCAGTCAGGTGTTTGAAAATGGAAAAAATATAGCACCATTCAAAGATGACCTAAAGCCATTATTTGAGCATTACACAGGCAGGATTTTGGAATGAAAATTTCTAGAAGAGATCATACATAAAGGGTGAAAAAATATCAACACAGTACCTCTGGCCACTATATAACACCTGGAGTGCTTCAAGGCACACATTCAGTATTTTTAAGAAAAAACCATCGAAGCCTCAACCTTTGCTTACAATCTTTATTGAAGTTATACAAAAAGAATCCCTCAAAAGTGAAAAAATACATTATATACAAAAAGCTTTCCCTCAGGAAGACATCTCTGAACAGCCTTTATCATGCAGTGCTTTCAACTGTAGCTCCAGCCTCCACTGTCTCCTCCACAGCTGCTCGACTTTCAGCCTGATTCTCAGCCT